CCGCACCGGTAGGTGTGGATGAAGGCGTTGTGGATATGGAGGAGGAAGTGATACCGCAGTTTGTGGCACAAGAGTTGGTGTCACAGGAGTTGGTGTCACAGGAGTTAGTGTCACAGGAGTTGGTGTCACAGGAGTTGGTGTTTGAATCGGACGGTATCTTTGAAGACGTGTTCAGTCAACCCGTGTCGCAGGACAAGGAGGACAGGGAGCACATGATGAGTCCGGACTCGTACAAGAGTTGTCTGCAGTCACCACAAACACAGGAAACTGTTCCCACCGATGATGAAGAGCGAGTGGACATGGATTTGAGTCCAGTTATTAGTAGCGATCATAAAATTAGTGATAGTTTAGAGATAGTGACTGAAAGTCATGGAAATTATGCCAACTATTCGACTCCAATCACCAGTAGGCCGTCTCTGAACACCAAAAGGACAGCTATTAGTATCATAACGGGTGCGACGCCAGGCCTACAGTTATCGCCCATAACAGGCCTAAAGCTTTCACCGCACAGAGTGGCCCAACCGTCGCCCACACTATCGCTAAACATGTCGTACGCGTCGGTGTCGAGCGCGTCGCCCAAGTCCTGGTCCTCCCGGTGCTCAGTGACCAGCAGTGGGCGCTCCCAATCGAAACGCTCGCCCCCGAAGTCGCCCGAAGAGCTCATCGAACAGTACAAATGTTTGGTGCCCTACGAGTCCTACGGTTCCGAACAGAACTACATTAAGCTCTTGACTACCGGTGCTGCCAGTGATGGTGGAGAAACATCCACTGCAGCTACCGAGCCCGGGGCTGTCCTACCCGACCAACTCATGGAGCGAATTGTGGAGCAAAATATCAAATATATTCATAAATTTAATGAGTAAATCATATGTAATTTATTTTGTTGATAATTATCAGTACCGGTAATAATTGATTACTAAATGACCAAAAATTGTGTTACTTTTTATATTTACGGTATCATTAATCTGTGTTTTTTTGTTTTTCATACCCATTTGTTTAATTAACACTAAAACTACAGTCAGCCCCAGTATACAAACAGATCTGTGTAATTGTTTCGTAATTTTATTACCGATTGTATCATAAGAAAAGTTGACCGTAATTGTGATTTATAAGAATGGATTACCAGTACTAACTAATGCAATAATTGTCAAATTAGTGGTCATAATGTGTACAAAGTTTGTACTGTATTACAGATACAAACTGCTTAATTTAACTTAGAGTTAAACCTAATTATTCATTTTATTCAACCAATAATTATTGCTTGTTTATTCGCTATTGAAAACTATGACTAAATTATTACCCGTAAGTTGTTATTCAAAATTACTTATTGTATGGTATTTACGGTATTAGTGATACCATATGAAGTGAAAAACTCATTTATAATTTTCATGGCAATTTGAATTTATTTTACAATACAGTAAATATGATAATCAATTACAAAAAAGTACATTTTTACAATTATCTCATTTGACTTAAATTATAAAATATATCTTATAATAATCATTAATTGGTATTTAAATGAATAACATATAAAATATACATTAATTTAAAGTTACAAAAAATCATTAAAAAATATATTGCAAAACAAATGATCGCTAAAAAAGGCATTATTTAACAAATTTATGTAAAAGTGATGCAAAACATGACGACCCTATGGTGTCCTATGGGGAGGGTATGTGACACTAACTCGTGTGATAACTCATGTCTTGAGAGTCTTGGACTCCCAGTGGATCTGACGCCAGATGTTGTCCCAATCGAACTTAATATTATCCCAACTCTTGGCCCAGAATAGGTCCGACTGGTGCTGATGGCCGCCGGCCTGTCTGTTGCCATCGCCACCGCCGCCATCCCTGTCCTTCCGGCGCTGATCGCGACCGGACTGTTGGCGCTCTTTGAATACCCACCGGCGCAACGGCTTCACGAACGGACACACGTTGTAGAAGTGGTTGGGATTGGCTTTCAGAGCGTTGGGATTCTGGTTGGGGTCCGGTTCTTGAGAGTAGGTGCGCACCGGGAGGTCGGCAACGGCGAACCACTTGATGTCTTTGATCTCATTGCGAGCTAACGGCGCGAATGGGAAGTCCTTTTTCACGTCTCGCACGATATACAGGCGCACAGTCTTCTCGTTGACACTGCGCTCGAGGTATATCTGGTCACTGATAGTGTCGCTGCAGTCATACCCCGTCTCCTCCTTGACCTCCCGGGCGGCGCACACCACGTATGGCTCCGACTCATTGATCTTACCCTTCGGGAACCCCCAACTGTTGCCCCCAAACCCCTTCACTAG